TCCTGTTTCTTCGTTGGGGACAAGGTGGGGTGGCGGGCTCCGGGTCGAGAAAAAGCAGCGATAGTCGGTGCTCGGGTAGAAGAAGCGGCACCGGCGACAGCGGCTGCGTTTCCTCACGAGGGATCGAATAGGGTCAGCCGAGTAGAAAAACTCTCGGCTCTTACTCTCAGGACGAACGAGCGATCGCAACGACTCAAAGCTCTGCTGACTTTGCTGGACAGGTGAGCTCTCTTGAAAATACTTGGTGTTGTTGGTGTGGGACTCAACGTTGCTTCGAATAAACAAATTCGACTCCTCAGAGTTTATCCACCCACTCTCCATTCCTTTTTTATTCCTATTCAGAGCTACCGTGAAGCTTTTGTGGAAGAAAGGGAAAACTCGAGAATATCTCCATGTCGTCTTCTCGGATACAATGGCGACGGAGAGTCTGAGGCCCGGTTGCGGTGGTTCCCTGGACTAGACCCCGGATCGAGGGAATTAAAGCCGGACGATTCCGTATAGAACTTCGAGGAGACATCGGTCTCGCGGAAGATCTCAGACTTCCGTGGGAGCAATTCATTTGAGTTATGATCATGACTTGGACCCGTTCGCGCATTTCTGATCTCCGATCCCTAGATCGATTGAAGAAAAAAACCGTCCCATCCCGATCTATCTATGAATCGCAGACTTCAGAGATCTCGTGAATTGTGAAACATGAAATCAGATAGACGGGGAACATATTCGTATCTCCGACCGTCGAGCTGCTATCGTCGACACTCTTCCCGCGCGCGACTTATTCGCGGGATGAATTGACGCGAAGGACCAGTCGAATCCTTCAATTCGAGCTACGATTCCCCGGTTCATCTTTCGTTTTCCCCTACCTCCAGATGTCCGTTCCGAAACTTCCCCCCCTCCCCCCCCCCCCACCAATAGGACGGAACCATATAGAGGGCGGACGAAGGAATAGCCAGAGTATCCTTGATAAAAATAAAGTTCGATGAGGAACGAGGTCTTGCCTCGGAGGTGTGTCTGGACTCAGGTGATTGTTCCCGAGCTGAGGGTTTTTCGAGCCCCTTCTCGGCCGGAACCGCACTCCAGAAGACGCGGGAACATGTTGTGCGACATGATCAGATTGAAGCTGAACCTTGCTCTCATAATCGTGAGGTCCCGGGTAGCATGGAAACTCTCTCATCGTATCGCCGCGAGCAGGATTCACCGAGGAACGTGTGGAGATGATATTTTAAACGTGGCTAGCCCCGAGGCGATGACTTAGGTCAAAAGGAAGGAGCCATTCGGATTCCATTAAATCCCGCCCTTGAATTGTCTGCCGCTGGCCGCGTCTTCCGGCGAACCTGTCGCTGTTCTTTGAGGTGAATCCATTCTTATTATGAGCGCAGGAAAAGCCTCTAGCTTCACCTCCTTGATTATATCTCTAATTAATCTGATGGGCTCCCACTTTGAAGCTCGGCCACGCCCTCACTGTCGACGAAGGAATTCCCGGAGCCGGCAGTGAGCAGCCTTTCTGGCTGGAAGCGTCTGCCGAGCATTTCCATCCACACGTGTGGCCTAATACGCCGGTGCCGGGTTAAGCTCTTGGCAATAGAGGAGGTGAGCGTCATAGCCGAGTACGACCTCGTCTTCCGTTACGGTCTGGTCTCAAAAAATGTGACCGCCGAAAAGAGCCATATTCTATCAGCCGCGTATGTGACCCAATTACGAGCACGAGTACTTCTTATGGACGTCATTCAATTACCAGTAATGTCTTTGCGATATATTGCTATTATGCGCCTGGAGATCGAGAGACGACCGAGGAAAGCCTAAAAAGCCGAGGGGCTTATGAGCGTCGCGTCATGCTAGCAAGCGAGCTCGCGAGTAACTAAGTATGAGAGCGTCGTCAGCAAAAACCCGTCAAATATAACTGCGCGGAGTACGCCGCACGTGCCGCCGCCTCTGTGCCTACGTGGGCTCCTTTATGAAGTCGCTGGCACATACTGCGAGCCCGCCAAATGCTTCCGGTTTTTAGAGGCGCAGATTTTAGATCGGACGCTAGAAGACCCTGAGCAGCTGTGAGCAAGGACTCGGAAGCGTACCAAGGGCGGCATGGAATTTTACATTCGCCAGTCTGAAACCGCGTCTCTGTTCAGAGGTCTCGACTAGGTCTAGATCGGTTTTTGTCAATTCGCCGCTCCTCGTTCGAGACTATCCCTCAGGTTATAATTTCAAACAAGCACTTTCAGGCAGTATTACCGAGACGCGTGATTCTTCTCGCTCGCAGGGGAGCCATCCGCGTGTTCCGGAGTCCGGGCCTCTCACAGAGCCTGTAATCCGGCGCTCGATGATTTCTTTGTTGTAAAAAGCGTCTTGAACAGCGAATTAATCCTTCCCTCAGATTGTCGTCGTCTCGGATACTCGCTTAATTCGGACTCCCGTGCACCGCTGTATTGGAGCTGCCTCCAAGGAATCGAGGATGAGGTCCCCGCGTTCTTGGGGAGACGAGTAAAGGACGCGATGAGAGGTCATACAGATAGGGCCCTCGGGTCCGTTATCGAGTCGAGAATACCGTGAGGGAACCAAGACATCTGGCGAGATTTGCGTAGACGTCTCTCCCTGAAAAATGGATCTTCCACCTCGGACGGACGGTCTATCATCCAAATGATACGCAGGGACTCAGCAGTCCTCACTCCGCCTATCGCCGAAAACTACCTGGGGTCGGCGTTTCCGAATCCACTGGTCTCCTTCCGAAACTGTGACCAAATGAGAAACGGTTGGACCCGAGCCCGCGACCACGCCGCGCCACCGGACAATTAGATCGGATTCAGATGGCAGTCGATAGAAGAGAGGGAGGCGGAGTTCAGGAATCGGAAGAACGTTCTCCTATTTGTTGCCCTGTGGTCCATCGGTTGCCCGACAACGAAAGCGTCGATAGCCATCCTCGTCTGAGCGCGTAAAAGCGGAGATCAGTGAGTTCCGCCTAGATCCTCCGCTCGGAGCCACTGGTGTTGAGTTATGAAAGTTTATTGGCCTCATCCTCCGAGAATCGAATTTTCAAAACTAGCTCGAAAGGCAAAAAATTGGAAGCCCTCTCTGTTATTTAATGTACGACGGTCTCTTCGTGAGAAAGCGTCCAGAGCCAATATACGGAATCGGCTTTGACGGATGGCGCGATCGATTGGCTTCATTTCGGTGGTCGCTGAAAAAGCAGAGGAACAACAATTTTTTCAACTGACGCCAATGAGTCGGAGCGCCGAGCGAGGACTCTTAGGGGCATCGGGAGAACGTCGACCGGGGAATTTCCGCCAATGCTAGAGGCTGAGTGTCGCAAAACCCGTGAGCATGGAAGCTCAAGACCTATTGAAGATGAATCACGGTCCGATTCCATATCGCTGCCGGCCGTCTGCGGAGCACCGCCGAGGAAAAGTGTAGGAGCAATCGAAGAGGATACGAGTGTCACGGTGATATGGCTGTCCGATCCACGAGACGAACTACTACTACCCGCTGACGGATTAAACACAGGCATTGAATGAGTCAATGGATTATGCTGAAAAACAGTGCAGAATCAATGGAAGTTTCGAAAAGTTGACCTAGTTGGGATCGGTCGTGGTAGTGGAGAAACAGTGGGGAAACAGTCGCCGTCCAAAGGAAACTTTTTGCTGCTCGCTCAATTTCAATCAAAACTTATGCGTCGCCGCTGTCTCCACGGAGACGAATTAGGAGAACCCCCACGGCTGTCCATTCTCCGCAATTTTCCCATTGTTCTCGAGTGCCGCATTTGCGACGTCACGACGGCGCCTCACTTTCTGAAGCAATATGCCACATGCTCATGCATGCGGACGGAGCGCTGAAAACAGAGACGCCCCCCATCCGCGCTGATGTCAGAACGTGCACGAGCTCAATACCTCACTCCTAGCCCTGATTGATTGACTCTGGCCGTTGGATTGGCGGCCAGGTCGGCTGCTCACTTAGACGTTGAGCGAGGCCGGGATTATGAGAGCCCCTCTTTTGTTCTTGTTTGGAACGAAGGCATGTGCGGATAAGTGTTCTTCTTACCAGACTTACGGAACACGCACACGGGCCACGGAGGCTGCTGGTTAGTCCGAGGCGTTCTTCTTTCTTCCTTCCTACTTCTAATACTCGGCTGTTCGTCGAGCGGAGCTCTTGCCAGGCGCAACAGCTGGGTGCTTGGGCTACGCGTTAACGAAGCCGCGGCCGCTCCTACTTCTTTAGCTGCTACAGACGGCGGTAGCGGCCATGGCGGCGGTGGTGGCTTGTTCTTTGTTGCCTCTGGCGGCTTAATAGAACGAGGCGACGGAAAAAAGGAAACGATAGGACGGAGCGAAGAGTACGTGCGAAGAGCAGAAAATGTTCGTCTTCGCCCCGCCACCGCCGCCGATATTTTCATTCAGACCCCGCGTTGGAGGGAGCGGGAAAGACAGAGGTAGCGGAATTTCAATGTCGGCCACGGACACCGAGCTGGATTTCTCCCGCTCTGGCTGAGATCTATTCTTGATTTGCCTCAACTGAAACCGAGCCCGGTGCGTGGGTTTTCGGGGGAATCCAAATGCGTTTCCCCCGATTGTCACCGGGGACTCCGTTATCCGAGTCGCTCCCTCCCGACCCGACTCCCGCTTGTTCGCATCCAGGGCGATCAAACGCGGAAAAATGTCCTTTCCCGATGAATGATCCCCCCGTGATCCCTGTTCATTAAACGTGCTCAATCCTCAGAGCATACGGAACAAGCGGACGAGGGCGCGAGATAAGTGCCTAAATCTCTGGTGCAGAAAATCGGTGCTGGAAAATCCCGATCCCGGGGGTTTTTACGAGAACGCAAGTCTCAGATTGTTCTTCTGGTTTCGTACTCGATACATTCTTCCCTCGTTCAGAGCCTCCCGCAGCTCCTACCCGAGGTTGGGAAAGAGACGAGCTTCGGGGAAGAGATCGGATGCTGCCCTTTCCAAAATTCTCCTCCTCGTCCTCCTGAACGGTTTCCCCGTAGAGGAGTCCCGAGACCCGGCGGGAAACGCATGCTGGAACTAAGATGAGATCAGTTGATATCGTCACGTGTCTGTCATGGCAATCGAGTCTGATTCACGGAAAGTCACCGTCTTAGGATAGAAGCGGCTCGGACTCAGTTCGGGAACGAAGACGATGATGCGGTAGAGCCACGTAGAGTGACTGGCGTCCAGTGTGCAGTTCGTGACACAGTGTTCACAAAACGGATACGTTCCCGGAAATAATATTCTCCTTACGCAACCGTGCAATGGTTCGCAAACTCCGCCCATCGATACGGCGTTCTGCCTTCGTCCTACTCGTGCTGACGCTCATGCCCGTCGTTCGGTGCACCCGTTTGAGTTCTCGAACGGTGACGACGCGCTACGGAGCTCTTAAAGGAAGTATAGTTACCCTCGAATCAGCGGTGCGTCAAAACCTTCAACCAGTTGAGGTGTTTCTAGGGGTGCCTTACGCTTCACCGCCATTGGGAAATATGCGTTTCATGCCGCCCGGCACGCCGACTCAGTGGAAAGGCATCCGGATGGCGGACCGTTTCGCGCCGGTGTGTCCACAAAAACCGCCGAATATCCAAAACGAGACCGAAGCACTAAAAGTCATGCCTCGCGGTCGATATGAGTACCTGCGACGGCTGCTGCCCTTTCTGCAGAAGCAAAGCGAAGACTGTCTGTACCTCAATATCTACTCGCCGGCGGTCGGTAAGTTCCCTTGCTCACATTGTATGTATTGTAAACGAGCTCCCGGCGACGACGTTACGCGAGTTTCGCGGTGCATGAGTGTCGTTGGCTGGCAACGAGTAGCAGTCGTCCCCGACTGTCGTATATTCCTTTTCTCGCGGAATTCTGCTATTCAAATCAGATACTACCGTATATGTCCAGTTCGCTCGTTCGCGCGTATTGCTCCGCCGCACGCGGTGTAGACCCACCGGCTCAAGTGGCTCTGTACGCTTGCGTATGCCATCGCAAATGAAACAGCCCTCCACACGGCGTCCTCGTGTGCAACCAGCCGTCAAGCAACGTGTTGCCAACATCGAGCTGACTGTGAAAATGAGCGGAAGCCTCTAGACAGCACCTTTCTATCAGTGTGTCATTTCTGCGAGCTCCCGACGGAAGGGAGTTCGTTCCCAGTCACGGTAGTCGTCCTGCGAACGTCGGTAGTCCTTGTCTCAAGTTGAATAGCGGCGTCATCAGTAGAATTCAGCTCAGGTATGCTTACCGGATTGAAAGTTATACCAACTGAGGCATTAGGAGACGTGACATGGGAACGGCGGCTATACGTGGACAGCTCACTCGTTGATATGACACTTCTGATCCATACGTCGGTAGGTGTAGCTCTTGCCGGCTCTTGATAAAAGTTGAGCTCATGTAGTCTGCAATGGAGGGACCCCAACGAGCAGTGACAGCACGCTCCTACAGGCTCAGGTTGAATGACAAGCAAGTTTTTCTCGCCCCCTTTTTGTCCCGTGGAGCGAGCGAAAATCAATTCTGGTGATGCGGATCAGGATTCCACGATGAACGCCATTGACCGATGCCCGACGTCCTGGGTCCTGACCACGGAATTCGGACCTCGAACGCGGCTCGCTGCTCTGCAGGCATTTGTATAAAATAACATTCATGTGATGCAAATCGATGAGACGAATAAACTGAACCCATGCATCAATTTGTCCGCGCGACCATCGGGTTCGATGTAGAAATTGGACCGTAGATCCCCCCATGACACATGTTTACATACGGAACCGTCTCGTTCTCGATTTGTTCCCGGGATAGGTCCACATAAGCTCAATGAATCGCCATCAGGAGGTGAGATCTAGATCTTGTTTCCCGCGAACCTTTCCCACGGCGACCATCTTTCCGACCTCATCCCATGATGCTTGTACGGACTCTTGCTCACACGGTCGTCTTCATGGGACCCTATTCAGATAGTCTGTCCTGTATCAGGACATCGGAGCGATTGTGTGCCACACGGTGGGAGCAGGAGCGTGCCCCCTTCTATTCCAATGCTTGTGTCCTTGCCTGCTCTTTATATCTGTTCCTGTCGTCGCTGCTAGCCTGCCTGCTCCCTCCAGCCGAACACTGTTCTCCCCCGGCCTCCTTGCTCGGGCTTTGATTGTCGTGCTCGCTGTGAGGGGAGCGATAGAAAATGTTCGCCGACAACCGAAGCTATCCACAGAGGCGGCAAAGCGTGAAGCAAGGGGAGGAGGAAACAACGAACAAATGGCGTGCCTTGACGCCAATAAATAATAAGATTGTCTCAATTGTCGCTCCGCTGTGATTGCTGCTTTCCCCCCCCTCCCGTCGGAGCCGGCCGACAACAACAAAACGCCAACAACCGTGACAACATCGGCCCTAATGTCGCGATCAGTTTCGGCGTAGATATCCCCTCCATTGTTGGCTTGCGACCCATTATCATTGGATGCTCGGGATCAAGATGCTCCCTCTGATAATAGGGGCGTTCGAGGTACTCGATATCCGTGTCTGAGTGAGCTCAAAGACCCGAGAGATTTAAGAGGAGACAAGTCACAACGTCATAAGATCCTCCTAAAATCCAGCTGTTGGAACTCCAGACCGCGGCCCAGCTGCTACGTCGAATTGATGGGCTGTCCGCACGCTTACGAAATCGAACTCCTCGAGAAAAAACCGAGGTCTGTCATCCGCTGAGACTCTCTGATCCAATCGGGAAATACTTGGAGGGCTCCAAGGAGTTTCTTTGAAGGACTCGATTCCGAGCTCGGTCGGTCGTATACCGGAAAATATTATTTCCGTCTGATCCAGAGACCAATCGCCCACTCATCCTCCCCCGCAGCTTCTTCCCACCGCATTTGTGATGTTACGAGTCTGAATAAAATTTCGACAAGTCTGCGTGGGTCTCGCGACGTTTTCCACCCGATATTAGGCGCTAGTCTCACTTCTGAGTCTTCGGTTAGTCCTAGGGATTTTCCAGCTTGCCATCCTTCGGAACGGCTGACGGAACAAGAAATCGGGCGCTCCCACGGAGAGACGCGGTCTTTCGGCGGTTTCTTAGTTTGCTACTCGAAAGAAGCTAACCATCTCCTCGGTCCCTCCTCTCACTAGACGGAGCACGTTCTCTCCGCTCGCGGAGCGTGAGTGACGAGGCAGGGGAAAACAGGATGCTTCGCGCTCTTCATTTTTAATACTCAGATTCACATTATTCATCGCCCCCTCTTTGACTTCACTCCGACATCCGGTGCTTATTTAATTCATTTGGTGACAAGCAAAAAGTTCTCAACGCTCCGCTCATTCTCGCGCCTCTCAGAGACTTGGCTCTTAGTGAATCCAGAGGCCTCAGTTCGTCCGTTTGGCCCGTTGCCACTCTTTGGATGAGGTTTCAGTTTGGGTTCACGCAGTAGCATTCAAAGGGTCGTTTGCCATAATTGATATTCATTTTTTTCATTTCACCGAGTCTAAAGCAACTCTCAAATTGACAGAGTTAGTCTGATTGGTCTTCAGGAGCCATCGGAGCTTTGGCGAGATCAAAGTCGATGGCACTCCGGCAAAACAGGGCCATCGATTCGTTCTGGGTAGAAGTGCTCCGCACCTTTGGAAAATCAAATCTAAGCGGAGCCATGGAAAAATGGATTTGCGAGGAATGGATGGAGCCGAAAATTAGGACGGGAAGAAGGAACGCCGCGGCCGAGAATTGAATCTGCGACGGTGCTCCCTCATTCAGCCATCGCATCGCGTCGTTTTTTTTGTCTTCAGTTCCTCTTAACTCATACAAGTGCGTTAGGAAAGTTAAACGCCACGCCGGCCGGAGTCTGAGCGAAAGACTTTTCGACTCATAGGGAGCCGGCCATCGGCGCGGCTCGGATGAATGCCCGACTTGGGGCGAATCTCTCATCGGACGCTGTTGATGAAGATGAGGAAGTAACCAACTTGTGAACACACCGCCCGCGGTACTGCGTGGCTTCAGGCTGTTGATGCTCAAGCAGCCGTCGCTTCTAGAGCTCGTCAAAGGAGTCGCGTGGTTGTGAGCGTACGTGGTATGTATATGCGTCCCCGACGAGTGAGTGTTGAGCGATAGGCAGTGTCGAGTGGGCTCCTCATACTACATGACCACGAACCCGAACAAACATACGCAAGATCGTCTTGGCGAAGGAAAATATACGAGCATTTGTTTTGATATACCTCTAGCGGGCAGACATATGCTCCACACCGCCGAGCCGCCGAAGTGGCGCATTAGGAGTCGTTGGTGGAGATGGAATTTTCTTTTGATGAGGATATGAGCTCTTGTCGAGCCCGGAGCTGCTCGAGGACGTCCTCATTAAACCAACTCCAGACGACCGCTGACAGGTGATTTCCTCATGACCGTGGGCTCTTCAAGAGAATCGTTTCACAAGGCCGAGCAACGATGCCAGAAGAGAAAGGCAGAGATAAGGAAAAAATGAAACAAATTTCGATCGCTTACGGAGTTGCCACGCTTCGCTGATCCTCCGAGATACGAGCATGGATAGTTTAATCCCTCCTGTTCTGAACGTGCCTATACTTTATGCTGATGGTAACGAGAGACGGCTGTCTGGAGCAAATTGATTGGACGTTCTTGGTCGTATGGCTCGCAGCTCCCCCGCGAACCCCACGTTCGCCACCACTCCCAACACCATCAGCAGCGCCTCCATTGGCAGCCACAGCAACCCGAAACCGCGGGCACTTTATACGCAGCTTGAAAATATTATCCTTTATGAACAAAAGCTCTCCGGGTGATGCGCGACGAACAAGACTGCTGACAGGGTCCGATCTCGGCTTTCTCTTTTTTTTTTGTCGAAGCCGGAGGGAGAGCTTCTTGCCTCCATCGGCAAACATCGGGGACTTATCTCGTTGTCGGGGAGCTGCTACATTAATAGCCAGGACAGAGAGTCGGGGCTAGTTGGACGTCGATGAATCCGCGGTACGACTCTCAATCGGTCTTCCTCTTCGGGAGATGGACACGCCTTCATTAGAAATTCCGACCTACTCGAACTGTACGAATTCCATCTCGCTTCAGCCAATCCGCTCACTTCTCTATTGTTTATCTCTTCCCGCATCGACGGTCCCAAGGAACTACCTCATATGGATTTATCCGTCTCAGCATCAATACAACAGTTCTCATGATTCCCCTATCAATAGAAGGAGACCGGATAAGCGAGTCTCGGCGAAAGTCATCGGAAGAAGCTCGGAACGATCAGGTGGCTGGAAAAGGAAAAGAGTGAACGAACTGCGACACGACCGTCGGCGCCGATTCCTCATTGTTTGCTGCCTCGCACGCTAACAGAGCGACAGCAAGCCTGGCGACGCATGCCGGAAGACTAAGATCCTGGCAGGTGTTTGCACACGAGCCGCCATGACTCAACGCAGCTTCCGACCGAACGTCTCGAATGAGCGGGGCAACAGAGGACGACTTTTATTGATTTGCTTTCCTGCATTGGCAGTGCTCGATTTGCCTTTTGCCGTCCCCGCCCGTTTTCCACTCCCACCCATGCACCGTGCCCCCACCCCTACCTCTCCCCTATACCCGACGAACCCGCCTCTGGCGGCTCGAACGCGGTTCGCTTTCCGCTCCTTTTCTCCTCGGCCTTTGTGTAGGACGAAAGCAAGTTCAAGAGCAGGATCTCGCGCTCTGACTGCCCGTGTGCCTCGTCTCTCCCTTCTCCCGTCGGATCGTCCGTTCTTCGACGCCGCTCGTCGCTACTCAACAAGCAAAACGC